CGCGAATTCACTGTGCTACCTGGGAATATATGTTGTTTAGATTATTGAGTAGAAAATTATAATATTGATATTATGTAACTATTGGTTGCTGGGATCCTACTGTGTCTCGCGAAAACTCGAGTCGTAGTGACGGGGATAATGTCAGACGTCGATTTTCGCTCGATTTGCATCTTTTCGTTATCGGTAGACTTACAGTATATTTCAGCGCAATTTTATTATAAAGAGATAAAGTTCATCGTGTTTATTTTCTTCAAGTTCAAGCTCCGCCGCGTCACCTCGCGTTGCTAGACGCACGTGTATCGTTATCGCGCGTGTGCGGGATCTAATCCTCCAGATCTGTCGTGTCGCACGAGTCGCGAAAATCTGTCATCAGACCTGGTCATTAGCTCGCGAGGCTCATAAAGCGCGCGCAGTCGGCATTCGGCATCGCAAGGCGCACTTGCTCCCGTGTCATCACCTTCGAGATAAAAATCGCTGACTAGCCTCGCTTAAATTACGCATCGCGTATAACGTACGCAGTGCAACGCACCATGATGTTTCGAATCGCGAGTGTCGTCGCTTTGTGCGCGCTGCTGAGCGACGCGAGTCTATTCTACGATGGAGCGAAGCCCGCGTATTACACCGCGTGGAACGAAGCCGCGGAGGTGAGGAAGACGAAGGAGCCCAAATCTATTAAGTTCCCGGAGCGTCCGGATGGATTCGACGACGATCGGGTCGCTCAGCTGACAAATCGTGCAGATCGTGCCTGGGTCCCGCAGAATCCGCCGCCGGCCGTAACGGCCAGACACGTCGTCAATCAAGCTGGTAATCAACGTGATATCGTCGGCACTTGCCGAACATGTTCTCGCATTAATGAAATACAAAATGATATAATAATGTTATATCGCGAGAAAGTGGATCGTTCGATTAATCATTAATTGAATAACGTTTGTTCGCTTCTAACTTATAGCCAACCCAGAGAGCACAAAGGTGAACGTGAATTCATAAAGAATTCATTTTAAAGAACACCCGCAGAATTGGAAAACTGCATATCTCAACAATTCTTGAAGAATCGGCCACAATCCGTTCATCTTGAAGCATTCGCCAGAAGTTCATTATGGCACATGCAATTACCTCGATTACTCCTTACTGTATTCGTCTATAAATTTCTGAAGAATTTCAATTCAGAAAGGCAGAAAACTTGCGGAATACTTTGCGAATCTACTGTGCTACCTGGGAGGAAGCGGAACTTTATTTCGCGTCGAGCACTAATTTCTTTAAAGGGCTAATTAAAGCACTAATTAAACAAATTAAAAAACCTAATTAAAGCACTAATTAACTAATTAAAGCACTAATTTCTCTCGTTGCTTATCTAATTTTTGACTGTCAAATCGCAATCACTTTGCTTGCAGCCTATTTATTCCATATTTTTCCTCCAACCTTTTCATACCAGAATCCTCTCAATATTCCTTTCTTCTTTTCTAGCATATCGTTCTGTACTTTATATTCACCGTTTTTTGCATATGTTTTCTCGAACGTTCAAGCTATTCTTTATTCGATCAATATATGTTGATATGTTCTGGTAAATTTACGTACGGAATAATACGCTGATATATTCTACACACTGCCTTAGTATTTACACGAACGCGTATTTGCTTTGCAATGCAAGGAGTAAACAGACTTTCGCGATACGCGGTACACGCCGCGTTGCAGCTTCTATTTGATAGTAGCTGGGGTTCAATTAATTGCATATGTAATTGAAAGGAAGTTTTTGCAGCTTGCGTGTTATTTTAAGATACGCGTGCTGGAAATAATAATCGAAAGTCGTGGGTATGACGGGAAAAAACCCAGCGCGTTCCAAGTAACGTGTGCTATTTTATTGTTAGAGGAAAGTTCCCTATTACGAGATAGACTCCTAATGTGAGATAGCGGAATTTCTGCTAAATTAAGAGGCATCATCTGTTAGTTTCATCATGAATTTATTGCCCTTGGAGTTTCAATCTGTTTAGTGGAAAATTGATAGTTAGATCGTGTAATCGTAGCGAAAAAGATTTGTAACTGAATTTGGACGTTGAAAACCTGCTATCTCGTATTAGAATCCCACCTCGTAATAGAGGACTTGCCTTTACGTCTCGTAAATGAAACGTATATACATACACGTACATTTGTCGTCAACACAACACCAGTACTTTGGTCTCGCGCCAAACAAATTTGATCTATAGTATCGAGTAATAAATAACATTCGCTGTTGTCGATTGCAAACGCGACGAAAAATCTCCAGCACATGAATGTTGCAGTAAACATACTTGTTATTTATAGCTAAATTGACTACATTAGTTCGGAATTTATCTGTTTTCCTCTTCTTCCAACCTGCAAGCAAAAGTATAAACTCTGAATTAGTGCAAAAGATGAGCTATCAAAACCAGATTCAATGTACGTAAGAGAAATATAATGCTTGTTTCTCAGAAGAAAACAAAGGAATCGGACAAAGAAACTGGTTCTCTCGATGGTTGTGGAATCCACCTAAGAGAAACCGCTCTTAGATTCTGATCACTTTGTTGTAGAAGAAAAAAAGTTTTGCGAAAATAATTTAATTCAGCGCGTCTCTCTCTCTCTCTCTTTCTCGTGCATGATTACTACATACCTATATTTACGCATTCGATATGGATTTATGTATCGGCAGATTGGGGAGCCGTAGCGACGATAAGCACGAGAAAGGATATTCAAAGCTTTCCCGTTGCGAATGTGGTCTCCATTGCCGATGGACCAGTTGGAAACGGTACCGGAATACCGTACATGTACCTCACTCCTCTCAGTTTTACCGCTCAGGATGTCGCTGTAAGTAGCGATATCGATATCAATCGATTATTGGCCGTTGCACATCTGTGCAACCGCATGTTGTACGGACATTATACAAATGAGCTATACGCACTCTACTATCTATATAATATGCGTCATACCGTATGTCGTATACATATTATAGTATCTAAAACAACTATGATACAAGATTGAAAGGATCTCAAGCAGAACAGTCATTTAATAGTCAAGATGGCATCAAAAAGTAATCTTTAGAAAATCATCGTCATTTAATACTTTTAATGAAATACAATGTTACTTTTTTATTACTATATGACTTTTCGATGACTTTCGAGAGAACGCAAATCGCTCGTGTGTGCGAAATGATTAAAAACTTACAGATATTATTATATAATATTTTACGATTTCTGAAAATATTTGTATAATTGAGCAATAACGACGAAAAAAAAGAAAATGTAGACGGAATCTAACAGTTACAAATGTTATAAAACATGAAATAGAATCTCTACTACATTGCTCTAATATTTTTGCAATGTCATAGACTACAAAGATCCGATTTGATATTCCGTGATATTAACAACTCTTTGATTCCGTCTATATCTTCTTTTTCGTCGTATTACTGGATTTCGAGCGTTGTTAATTACTGTTTTATCATACACGTGGTAAAATTAAAGAGAATTGATCACTGTATTATCAAAAGATAAGCACACGAATTTAAGACCAGTCTAACACTTTGTTACTTGGCTTAAAAAGACAAACTTTAATAAAAATACTATTTTTATTAATAATAATTAAACTCGCCTGTTGCGTTAATAATTTCTTTACAGATTATATCGCACTACAGAATCGCAATACAATTATATCGCAATGATTGTTACAGAAAGATAATCGCGTGACTCTGTTGGTGTCATTGACTCAGGGCAACTATTGCAAGGATAATGGATATGATCCGATGGACCCGCGATGCGTTCGAGTCATGTTAACTGGAAAGATTGTGGCAGTCAGTAAATTCGTACTTGCATACTGAATGTTATTTTTTATACCTAGCCGTGATTAATATATTCAAACGTTTTTTAACGACAGCTGAAAAACGGTACTAAGGAACACGAGGTTGCGAAACAATTGTTCTTTGACCGTCACCCGCAGATGCGGAACATGCCCTCATGTAATATCGCTAATCTCTTCGTATATTGTCCAAAGAATTTTTGTATGTCGAATTACATTTGCGCCATTTATTTTACACAGACCACTACTTCTTCTTCGCCAAGTTAAAGATGTCAGTGATCGCCATGCTGGATACCTTCGGTGGTGTGAAGTATGTTCCTATCAACGAGTACTTCAATCCGCCGGTCGTCTACAGGAGCCCTTTACTCCAAAGAAAATCATCGCGGCGTATTATCATCCATCAACCCCGTTTTCCATAAGTGTAAATCTCTGTCAGAATCCAACGAGATTCTGATAGTCCGAATTCCCGAGATTTATAATATTAGTTCCGGGGTTCCCTTATATAGGAAGGAAAGTTAAAAGAAAACTTAACTTAAAAGAAAAGTTTTATATTCTTCAAGTGATTGCTACTTTTTTACACTTGCTACTTTAAAAATGATATAAAAAAAGACAACGGAAACGACTAAAAATTAATTCTAATATTTGTAATAAACTGGCTGTAGCAGTGAGTGCTGGAACTGTCCCCTATGGATGGCAGGGTCCGTACTAGTGGAGCCTTTTTATATCAAGTTCACAAAGATGTGTGTGTATGAATAAAAGAAATTTACAATAAATAAATATGTATATACAGGCTGAATCAGAGCATTTGTTACAACTTTTTACCATAGGTTTACTATAGGTTTACCATATTTACCATGTCTGAAACATTTTCTGATTTGGCTAATACTTTTCGAGACATAAGCTAAACATTGAAAAAGTTATAAATTTTGCTCTTTAATATCTCGAAAAGTTTTAGGCATATCCAAAAATGTTTCAGACAACAGTTGTTCATATTAATTAGTAGAATAAGATGGTATAATAAACAGTATGCTGTTCCATTAAAAAATTAAAGGTGACCTTCGCGTGACCTTCAAATGACTATTCAAGGTCAAGTCAATAGCACCACCTTATAGCCCTTCGAACCAAACAACTCTTGTTTGAAACGTTTTTCCGTATCTTTCATATTTTGTGAGATATTTGCGTGGATTTTTTAAAATGAGACACCCTGTATATATCCAAGAATTTCATATTTTAAATCGCGAAAATCTAGAATCCCGAAAACTGAAAAGGTATCAGGAGAACATGATCAGCAAAGAGGTGGCACTATCTAAATTCCAAGAATTTTTCAGTATTACCAAGAATTGAAATTCCGAGAATTTTAAACTTCAAATCGCGAAAATTAAATTTAAAAAACTGGGCCATATGATGAGGAAGCAATGTGCAAATTACCAATTTGCACCTCTTATATATATTGCATTTATAAGTTAAAGTTACATAACTGTAATAAAATACAGTGTAACATCTGTTATATTACATGTTACTCCCAAGTTATACATATAACATTAACTTTGCTGGGAGTGCTTTACCGGGGATCGGACTAGATCGTGCGAAAACTAATAATGATGAAAATACTAAAGATAATAGATTTAGAAAATTACTTACCTCAGCCAGGGTTTGAACCTGGACCTCTCTACATTTAGGCAGGCGTCTTACCAATTACATGCCTCAGTGGTCGAATTTCTTTAATTAGAATATGGTAGCCAGCGTCGTCTAGCAATTCTCTACATTGGTTAATCATGTACTGGCGTCAAATAATTCTTTACGTTATAATAGATTTTATTCTTGCCCGAAAAAAATAGCGCGTTCTGTAAGCTTTGTGGCCATAATCTGACTTCAGAAATGTTCTTGTAAATTGGGTACGATGGGACCTGTGGTGGTTATTCTTTGAGAGAGAGAGGGGGAGGAGGGAGAGAGGAGAGAGGAGAGAGAGAGAGAGAGAGAGAGAGAGAGAGAGAGAGAGAGAGAGAGAGAGAGAGAGAGAGAGAGAGAGAGAGAGAGAGAGAATCACACGAAGGGAATCGTAATAATATATAGAAGATTTGTTACAATATTTCATCTTTTATTCGTGTCTTTCAAGTTACAAAATGGTCGTTAATTTCTAAGTGTTTAACCCGAAGATACTGTCGTCTGAATGTCATAGAGAAAAACTAAAACTCTGTGTTCTGGATATAAGTAAGTGCGTGAGAGAGTAAAGCAAACTGCACACCATACTATTTTTCCCACTGGATTGCTACGAGAGTCTATCAGGATTTATCCTTAAGTCATCCAATCTAAAACTTTGCATTCTGCAATCCAATGGGAAAAATAGTATCGTGTACCGTTGACTCAAGTATTATGGTATAACAACGAGAGTAGGTGAGTAAGTAAGAAAGCCTACGGCATTTTTCGCTCCTATTTATAACCCGAAAATGACGAGAATCTCCCCTGCTGGAGTCTCTCACCATTTGGGACTTATCTTACAATTAGTAGAAAGGAGAAGGTTTTTCGAAAAGTTTGTGATATCTAGGCCCTACGTGTCTTTGATCACGTTACTCTGTTGGAATGTTACCTATAGGTGAACAGAACGTTCTATGCGAGCGTTTGAAAGAGTCTTAGTAGGAAGATACTTTTAGAAAATTGTAAGATTTTTATCCGTCCATGACACCTTCCCCCTTAAAGCGTCGTCTACAATAACCGGCGTAAGCGTGGAGTAAGAAGTAAGAGTAGGAGTAACGTTTTTGGCGTACCTGAGTTTTCCTCCTGCGTTCTGATTGGTCGAGCGTAAGCGTAAGAGTAAGAGTAAGCGTAAGAAATAAAAATAATTCATTTCGCTTACGCCCTTACTCCAGCTCTCTTAAACCAGAAGTAGTTCTCTTACGCCTACTCTTACTTCTTACGCCAAGCTTACTCCACCTATTGTAGACGACGCTTTAGTCATACGTGGTACGTTATGTGTTACCGCGTATGAAGAACTATATGCTAAAGAATAATGTAGGAGAGTAAAATAATATGTTCGCAAAACAGAAGAAAGAACACGCATAGTACACACGTCTTATAATAAATCTTACATAATGTAAAAATGAAAAACTTTTTATCGCTTATAGCACTAATGATACATGAATACTTAATAAAGCTAAATATAAATTGAATAAGTGAGAAAATGATGTATAGAGATAAAAAGAAAAGATAAACTGAATAGTTCCAACTCATTCCTTTTTCTTTTTTCCTCTTTTTTTTACAAATGTGGGTATAGACTTTGAGTTCCGTTGCGGATAGCTGATTCTTTAGCATCTCCCGATACGATTTCGACTGGAAAAAAGCAAGAGAGATATTGTAAGTGTTGTGTGTGTATGTGTGTGTATGTGTGTGCTTTTTAATTTTCTTCTTGTAGAGGGAATTCCTCTGTTTCTTTCTTCTGCGTTGTGCCCCTCGCTAAATGTAGTAGTAGGTTCGTTACTGAATCCCATAGTGCAATGAGGTGCATTAACCATCCGTAAATGGTTTCAAGTGCTTATCCATGTGGTACCGTGTCTATTATCAGTTTTATATAGAAGTTCTTACATAGAAGTAAATTCTTATTACTCCTGCACTTGCATTTTCGAAGGTTAAAAACGTTCCCCAGAATTTTTCTAGGCGTTCTTTGTGACTTTTTGTAAGGAGTTTTCGTCTAAGAGATGAAATAGTGATATTATCCCTTGTGACAATGTCGGTTCTCCTTTTACGCCGCGTGCCACTGTTTACAGAGAATTCTGTTTTTCTCTGCCAGAAACATTATGTGGCCCCGTAAATTCTCGGGATCGTTGTTAGTATAAATGCCGCTTGCTGCTAGAGCTCCACGATCGTTGTAGTTCCAGGTAGCTGCAGTCATTGATTCCATTATTACTAGTGATTTGCTGTATTCTAGATTTGGCGTGATACCGTACCATCCGTCATTTGGTAAGTACATCGCTGGAATTACTCTGCTGTATGTAACTTGAGTGCCGGTTTTAAAGAGTATGCGAATTCGTGACGCCAAAAAGTATGCCTCGTTTCCTTTCGATACTGGCAATTGTTGATAATATTCCTTGGTGTGACGAATTTTGACTTCCACCGGGGTGCATTTGATGATATGTGCAACATAATCTCCTGAGATTACAGCCATATGTCCCAGTTTTTTCATTATCCAGTAGGCGAAGTTGTCCGGTAAGTGGATGGCCATGCCAAATACGTTTTCCAATACTTGTCGTTCCAGGCTGCATCGTTGGTTTAGTACATCTCTGTATAGGTAATTCATTTGTGTGCGTATGTGTCTTTCTTTGCAAACGAATTTTGAATTTACGTAAACAAAAATGTCTATATTTTCTGGTAAAAAACGCCGCTTGTGCGCGAAAAATTCTCCTCTTTTATATTTTCTACAATTACGAGTTTCGGATGCTCTATTTTTAATAAGGTGTATCCGCAAAGAAGCTCTTCACGTAAGTGCAAAAGTTACATCCCGTGTCGACAAGGAATAGATTATCTATAGTTTTCCATCTATATTACTAACCATTTTATTAGCTTTTCCTTCATATAATTGAATTTATAGTTATCACTAGGGATGGTTCCCCAGTAGATAAATCTTCCTTCGATATTAATGCAATTACCGTCAGAATATTGACAAGCTGTACCTGTTTTTAAATAGATTTGATTTTTTTTCTATATTAGTTACTGCTTGATGAGAATTTAAACGTATAGTAATTATTCCTTGTACAACAACGTTATGGCGAGAACCGTAAGGATCTAAATATTGCGCTCCTTCGCATTTTCCGTCGGCTGTTACGGATCGTGCAAAGGTGATTGGTCGTGATGTCACTTGATTTATTTTTCAACCGTTAATGACACTGTTAACATTTACGACAAGCGTCCCTGTCTTACGCATATTCCTACATTAGTCTAAACTTGCATCGACTATAATATTCAGCTTGCGCGTTACTTACTGTAGATACGTCGGAATACATGCTACAATAATAAATAGTAGGTACGTGAAATTGAGATTTTATGTTCAATGGCTCCTATTGATGAAAATTTAGACAGCTGAAGTAGTTGAATGTTTATTCTTTGTACGTATGGTTTTATAAGCGGTATGTTACATTTATCTACATCTAATAATGATACAATTGTTATGTTAAGGTTCGTTGTCTCGCAATCGTATCCGATGATTCCAAGAGTTTCTCGGATGGGAATAATCCCCATGATTAACAAGTAGATTATTTTCACCTGTGTTAAATATAATGTAAAAACGAAATTATTAGTGATTATTTTAAAACTTATTCTAAAGAAATTTGAAAAAAAGATTGAATATGTTGCAGGTACACGTTCAATCTTTGATTATTGACTTTGTTTTTTGGATTTTATTCGGATGAACTCTTTTGCTTCCTTATAGAGGAAGCTTTGTTTTCGTAAAAATTTTTTTTCCAGTTTTCTTTGGGAATATGTTTAAAATGTTTTAAAACGTCTAAAAATTAAATTTTTACAAAATGTCCGTATGTGTGTGTGTGTGTGTGTGTGTGTGTGTGTGTGTGTGTGTGTGTGTGTGTGTGTGTGTGTGTATGTACGGATTTGAATGTCCGTGGTTGCTCCAACTTCCGTAAATTTTGAGATATCGGGCCTAATTTTTTTTTTAAATGTAGAGAATCACTAAAGAAAGGTTGGTATTGATTTTGGTGGATACGATGATCGGTAAATGGGTTTCTTTTTAAAAAAAATAGCTGCTAACGCAGCAGAATCTGATGTCGATGCAGCCGACGGTAGTGACAGAGC